TTATTTTATAATGTTAATGATTATAAAAACAAAACTGTGATCAAAATGTGATAATCGATCAAATACTCAATTTGTGTTATTTTATGAATAAAAAAATGGAATATATAATAAAGTTATGAATTTTACTTCATAAATAATCTATATAGTAACTAAAATAGCAATTTAATAGTAAAATTTGATTATTTACAATGTTAGCATTCATTTTAGTAGAATGGGTAGACTCGCCCTATACAAGAGATTTGTCAGCAGCTCTATAAAAATATACAGTAACAGCGTAACTGTTAATATTTTCTAAAATCGATTTCACAGTTTTAAAGAGGGATAAATAGCGATTCCGAAACACTTATTAAAAACCTTTTTTCTTTAATATTTACAAAAGTTTGACCACTTGAAAGTTGACAAACTGAAAAAATGGGTAGATTCGCCCCGGTTCACGGTAATTGTTCTTCATTTTTTTCTTCTTATTGAGTAACACAAACTGTATTCCTTACGTTAATTTTTTTTCAAATGCGGATGATTACTTTTGAAATCCAGGCAATAATTCATTTTGTAACGATTAACATATTTACAAAATGTTCCTATATAAAGCTGCAATTGTATATCTTGTTAATAATATGTTCTTTGCTTTTGAGGAAAATATTGACTATACAAATAACTAAGACTATTAAAATAATAAATATTGACTATGAAAATATTGACTACAAATGTTGAATAAGAATCAATTACATGAACTGGGGACAGAGCCTTCTATTGTATTAAAAGAATTGACTAAATGAATTTTGTCCCTAAAAATGCATGATTTTTTTCTTTTAAATTTAGCAACTTTAATAGTTTAAGACAATTTTTTTCCAAATTGACACGTATTATCATTGTTATATTTTCCAGCATTCAAATTGACAGTTTACGGAAACAAAATTCCAAAGAAAACGTTACCAAATTAATTAATTAAATTTATATATTTTTTTATAAATAAGCCATTTTTAATTATTTTAACAGAAAATGTTTAAATGATTCTTTGACTCTTACTGAAGTCCTATTATTACGTATTTCATAACAATATAATTTATTTTTCATTTTAGAATAAATTATGAAGACTATTTTAATATTATGTTTGATTTTCTGCGTCGCGGCAGCAAGTAAGTCAATTTTACAATTTATTCAAAAGTAAAAAAACCTTAGTTGTTGCTATGGTAGACCATTAAGGCAAGAAGGGCTGATTATTCTTGTTTCACAGTGGTGCCATCTATGTCCAAGAATTCGACTTCTGCCACAACTATACGTCACACCCGTTTATAGGGTAGACCCATCCATACATTCGTTCATCCACAGATCGCAATGTTGACTTGAACCAAAGAAAGATCAATCTCCAATTCAGCACCCCCAGATATATGATTTGTTACGGGAACATGGAGAATTTTATGACCCGACTCATTTAACGTGCACCAGTTGTCATTTATTACACGGGAAGTCTTCGGCCAGTTGGCTTCGAAATTCTGTTCTCACAAGCGTGAGTCCAGCGCCGTGCAGTCCCGCAGTGGACTGATCGTTAAGACACGGTTCCCAGCAGATCACCGAAGTCAAACATCACTGGCTACGGTCAGTGTGCGGGTGGGTGGCCACTTGGATCAATCTGCGTAGTGACCAAGGGTGTGCGGTATTGGTTCTCGTTAAACTGTGCTACCGTAAAGTGCTCGACTTCTCGCACAGGTCGTCGGGCTACCGAAGCGAGGGTGCTATCCCCTCCGCAGAGGATCGAAATTGTGATAGCATGTCTTCAGATCATCCTCCGGGATGTTTCCCAGACCGTCGCCAATAGCCCATTGTGCAGCTCTAGTGCGACGTAAATTAACAACAACAACAACCAGCGCTCAGCAAATCAGGCTATCCCGGCCAAAACTACCTTAGTATAAATGTTTATTAAAAATTAAAGAGTATGTATGCTTATTGGTTTAAAAATATTTTTTCTTGCCTAATAATTTGAAGTGCTTACATTTTATTAAATTTTGTATGAAAATGAGAAATTTAGGTCTTTTTAACTGCCTATTACTAATCCAAACAAAATAATATACCATTAAACTAATGACATAAAAACAAATTATATGTTTATACACTTTTAATTTTTTTATTTCTGCTTTTCTAGTCTACCAATTCACCAATTCAATGATTCGTTTTTCCTCTTTTGTCATTCCTTTTCTTCTTTATTCACTCCTTATATTAACCATTTAAACTACTACAAAATGAAGGCAGTACGTCACACAGTTGAAATTTGAAGGACAGATAAAGCATTATGTGTTAGAGCAGTGATTCTCAACCTTTCTTTTGTGGCGGCACAATTTTAATGATTTCGAAATTTGCCGGCACACAATAAAAAAAAAATTAGTTTAAAAGTTGTTTACTTACCTATAATACACTGTGTTAAATAGTTAGTGATAATAATTTTGAATGTGAAATAAAATAATATGTACAACAAAAGCACGTTTATTAAGAGATAATTATTTCTTTCGACTAATTTTGTATTAGTTGGTAACAGTTATTTATTTTTTTGCTAGTTATTAATTGTTAACTTGTTTTCTATAGTTATTAACTGTTAGTTTTTCTACATTGCTATTTTTGTGTGATTTCTTGTTAACTAGTTTTTTTGCTAATTAATTGTTAGCATGTTTTTTTGTTAGTTATCCTTTGCTAATTCACTTTTATAACTATTAATTGCATAGCTTACTTTAATGATTAGCTTTTATTTCCGTTTGAAAATCATATTTAGTTTTCTTTCTTTTGTTAATTAATAATTTTAATGGTCATTAAATTTTCTACTTATTTCAACATTTTTTGAAATTGCCATAGACAATTTAAATTTAAATGCTTCCTTCTTATTTTAACTTATTTTGAGATTGTCAGAGACAAGACAATCGATGACAAAGATTTTCACGCTGTTAAAGCCCGGAAAAATTGTAAAAGTATATATATATATATGATATTATACATAATATACACTTTTCTTTAATTTAAACTTTACTCGTAATAGAAAAAGCATTTTAATTTTTATTGTATCATTTCTAATATTTGGCGACACATTTTAAAAATTTGGCGGCACACAAAAGTGCCGCGGCACAGTGGTTGAGAATCACTGTGTTAGAGTATTCGCCTTCCAATTAGGTGAACCGAGTCCTAATTCCAACGATGGCTGGTCGATACGAATTCCGCACCCCGCTTGCACCGACCACAGTGCTGACGTAAAATATCCTCAGTGGTAGACACATCACTGGTTAGTGTCCCCTTGTGGTCAGGCTAATCATGTGAGGTTCTCGTGGACTTCCTTTTTATGTAACGCAAATGCGGCGGGTTAGTTCCATCAAAAAAATCCTCCACCAAGGCAAATTTTCCCCAATACTTGATCCAAGAGTTCCCTTGTCTTCTGGATTAGGTTCAAAATTTGTTCAAGGATGGTTATGAAATTAATAAGCAATAATATAGCTCAATTAGGTGGCAGTAGCGACATCTGTAATACGTGTTTTGACGGCAGTTTTCTAATACCTAATTTGCCTTTGAACATTATTTTCGACTGAAAAAGTTTTTGTAATGTATCTTGTAAGGATAAGTAGGAATATTTTTTATTGAAACGGAAATACGAAATGTCAGTTGAAGTCTCGTGAGTGAGTGTGTGTGCTTTACTACAGATGGCGGTGAACGGCATATGCAACATACACCGCAGAGCCATTACGTTATGACCACCCTCCATCTATAAGCATGGACTCGCCCAGGTTTTCATGGTTTCTCGCCCAGGTACAATGTTTTCATGGGGCACATTAGGACCCATAATCCTCATAGAACAATTCCTGACGTCTGTAAGCTACTTGTACATCGTTGCAGACCAGGTTCACCCAGTCATGGCAACAGTTTTTCCTGCGGGGGATGGTGTTTACTAACAGGATAATGCATCATGTCATAAGGGTCAAATCGTCGAGAAACATTCCAGTGACTTTCAAGTCATGTCTTGGCAATTGAATCCAATTGAGCATTTGGAGTACTAGTTGGAAAACCAAATTCGTGCTGCCACGCTACGCAATGTGAGGGAATTACAGGATCAGTTTGTGAGCGCTTGGTACCAGATACATTAGACTACCTATCAGCACCTTGTGGAATCAATGCCACGGCGGTTGCTAGCAGTTTTGAGGGCTAAAGGTGGTCCTACATGTTATTAGCCGGGTGGTCATAATGTAATGGCTCTTCGGTGTATATGTAAGAAATAATTTATGATCAATAAACAAAAAGCAATTGCTATGCGAAGCGAGCAAGGGCAGAGTTTCATTCTATATAAAAATTTTCATTTTCTGTTTCTAGCATTCTATTGTCCAGCAAAACAAAAATATTTCTTCTGCTTTCATTCGAGGACCCAATGCTGCGATGATTACGACTGTGAAGGCAATAAGATATGCTGTACCGAAAAATGTGGTAATCGATGCCAAACACCAGTTAAAATGAACACAACTGGAACGCGAGTGCCTTATGATGCAAAGTGCAAAGTTGAGCCACCTAATCCGATACTTGCAAAAATTAGTGAAATACTTCGCGCATTTCAACGAAGTTTTGAATAAAATATTTCTTCACATGAACTGTTTGAATGAAATATTTCGCAAAATTCAACAAAGTTTTGAATAAAATATTTCTTTACATGAGCTGTTTGATTTTATTTGAATCTTAGTTTTACTTTATGAAAATTCAACGAGGGAGAGCGCTAATGACAAAAGGGACGAATGATTAGAAAAATGTACATAGAAAATTGTCAGATGCGACCATATTAACTCCATTTTAATTGTTATAACAAGATCCAAAATTACCGGACGCATTGACACTGAGCTGGAAAAATAAATTATAAGGGAAAAAAATATTGGAGGAAAGTACTTAAACGTGTGGTAGTGACAATCAGATTTATTTCTTCATTCTCTTTAGCACTTCGTCGTAAAAATGAAGCGTTTATTAGTGAAAATAATGGTAATTTAATTATACAGACGCTTAGGAATATTTATCCGAATTCGATCCAATTATGCGGGAACACATGAAAAAATATGCAAACTGCTGCACCCGTACTATAAAATATTTGTCTTCTACAATATGTAATGAATTTATTTCTGTTGTATCGAAAGATTTGCAACTCAGAATAGTGAGCGAAATAAAAGAAGCCAAATTTTACTCTCTAATTATTGATTCAACACCAGATATATCTCACGTAGATCAGCTGACCGTCATTATTCGCAATGTTCCTCCTATTCGTATAAAAAAAAAAGATTTTTGGGATTTTTACCTATATTTTCTCATACTGGTGAAAACTTGTTGAAAGTTATTTTAGAATTTTTAAATAATATAGGTTTAAACATCACTATATGTCAGGCACAGAGTTACGATAATGCGTTTTGTGGAAATAAGTAGTTTCCATTTATAAACTTTAGTGTTTGAGTTTATTTTTTAGATTCGTTTCCAGGAAGGAAGTGAAGGGAATTCAAGAAACAAGCATTCAATCAATGTGACGTACGAAATCGTTATCTATAAAAGAACGAACAATTTCTTCTTTCATGCCGGTGGAGAGGGATGAGCCGCCAACTCATCTTTTGAGTCTTTGGCCGATTGTATGATGATCCGATATTTATATTTGTATATTCAATTAGAATTTTAGATTTAAGTTAACCATTGAAAGTAATAATAAATGTGTTCCAGTTTATTTGTGTACGTCATGATTTTTAGCAAACTCTGCTTTGTGAGTTAAATCCACAAAGGTTATGGGCCTTTGCCCACCTCAACGCTATTTGCCAACGTCAACGCCTTTGCCCACCTCAACGCTATTTGCAAACGTCAACGCCTTTGCCCACGTCAACGATATAGATTCAGAAGAAATTCTATCTGGGAGCTGAAAGATTTATTTTAATAGCAGGAAGAAACCAAGTTTTGAATATGGAAGGAAATTCCGAATCAACGAACTTAGCCTTTCCCAAACTTGGAGCATTCAACTACGATAGTTGGAAGTGTGACATGAGAGTGGCTCTGATGGATCGTGGAAGTTGGGAATTCGTCGGTGGAGCTGAATCACCATCACCACCTGTAGACACTGCTCCAGAATCAGTTAAACAGAATTTCGAGATAAGGAAAGCTAGAGCTTATTCTACAATATATCAAGGTGTTGAACGTCAATTTTTAAAGTTGATTCAGTCTACGACAGATGGAAGAAAAGCTTGGGACATTCTAAAAGAAAATTTTGAACCTAAATCAAGAGCAAGAATTGCTGGCCTGGTAGATGAATTTTACGAATTGAAATTTCAGCCAAATGAAGAGGTGATTGGAATATTCTGTCAACGAGTTCGAGATAAAAGTGCACAGATTAAAGAAGCTGGATTCGAGATTCCCGAACTATTAGTTTGTTTCCAGATAATAAGAAAACTTCCGGAAGAATATGACAATTTAGTACAGATCTTATATCGTTTAAAGGATTCGGAATTTACAATAAATAATATTGAGAGTCAATTGATCAGCGAATCCGGAAGAATCCAACTAAAAGCTCGAGATAGTGGGTTCGATTCAGTTACAAATGCTTACTTAGCTAAAACAGACATAAAATCATCAAGAGAAAGGAATTTGTCGAAGCACGAAGACATTCCACACAGCGGAAGCGGTCTGGGCCGGAGAAGTACACAAGAAACTGGATACAGACGAAACTTGCAGAGCAAAGGATATCGACCTAAAGGTATGGGGCCGTGTTTCAACTGCAATAAACAAGGTCATTATTCAAGAGATTGCAGAGCAAGCAAAACTGCAAATAAGATGCAAGATCGTCAAAGTGTGAGGCAAAATCCCGCTACTGGTCTTTTCTATACGGATATTGAAATTAACGAAGAAGTTGCCGAGGTCGACAGCACGGAACTGGATTTAGAAGAATGACTTATTGACTCAGCAGCAACATCCCATTTCACAAACAGACGAGAATGGTACGAGACGTTTAGACCTCTGAAGAAGGCAAAAGTACTCGTCGGGGATAAGAACAGTACATCAGAAGTAGAAGGGGTAGGTGACATAATTTTTTACGTTAAAGATAACGACAGATTCGTAAAGCTTATATTAAAGAACGTATACTATGCTCCAAATCTACGATGCAACTTAATAGCTGGATCTAATATTGATATAGCGGGATATTAAATTGTTTGGCAAAATTCAAAAATGATAATCTACGATAACCGTAGCAGATATTTCTTCAGTGTACCTAGAATAGATAAACTGTACATTGTGAAAGGATTACCTGACAAACGTAAATCTGAAATACTTAAAACTTGCAAAGTGACAAAGTCTACCCGAGCATCTTTTAAAAGGAATTATCAACGTCTAGCAAATAAAGTACTGGATAAGGTGCATATGGATTTGCGGGGACCTTCTCCAACACCTTCAATGGGTGGAAGTCGATATTTTTTGTCGATAATAGATGATTTTTCTAGAAAAGTGGAAGTTTTTACTGTAGAGAAGAAAACAGAAGTTTTTAAATGTTTCAAAACATATCTCGTAAAATCTGAAAGAGAATTAAACTGTAAATTGAAGTCAGTCCGAACAGACAACGGAATGGAATTTTGTCACGCCGAGCTTGAAGATTATTTAAACAATCTGGGAATTCGAATAGAGAGAACTTCAACTTATTCTCCAGAACAAAACGGGATTGCAGAAAAATTCAACCGTGATGCAATTGAAGCTGTTCGAGCATCACTTCACGATAGTGGACTAAATTACCGATTTTGGGCTGAAGCTCTATATATGTACATTCATGTACGAAACCGAAGTGAACACAAATTAACAAATGGATTAACACCTTTTGAAATTTGGAGTGGATACAAACCATCAGTTCGACATCTAAGAATATTTGGTTCTTTGGCATTTGTTCACGTACCCAAGGTAAAACGCAACAAATTGAACAAGACATCAAAACTAGGAATCTTAGTTGGCTACGCAACAAGAACGAAGGGTTATAGGATCTGTGGTGTGCCTCGGCAAACACCCAGTCCCCATGTATGTACCTCGACAACCCTCCTGACCACTCCAAAACGAACTGAAGTGAGGTAAATCCAGCCAGCATAACCGGTTATAAACCCCCTCATACTCACTTCCAAACTGACTCGCGTGGAGAGAGGACGCGTTCCTCAACCCTTCTTTACAATTTCCTAATTCTTTACAAAGTAAGTTTTCATTATATGTTTTTTGTTGTTAATTAAATTTTTCCTTAACTTAAACTTTTTTTTATTCTTATTTATTTTTGTAATTAATTTTTAATTACGCAATTTAAATATAGCATGTTATTAACTTTAAAGCACACACGTGCTATAATTGGTAGACCCGGACTTAAACTTTAAGTTGATTCTTTATTTAATCGGAACTTTCCTTGCAATATAATGAATTTAAATATGTTAGCAATATGTTTATTTTAATTTTATTCATATTCTTTTTTATGTTCAAAATTTTGTATGTTGTACCCACGTGTTTGTGTTTGATTCTGTGGTAGTACTGTGCGCGTTTTTTTATCTCTTGGATTAGTGTATATATAGCGTAGGGAATGCTTTAAAATTAATTTATAAATATTTTACCTTTATACTATTTATTGTTTTGATTTTTTTTGTCAAAAAATGCCAGAAAACGAACAGCCAAGTGACGTGGTGAATGAAGGAGCTTTAGTTA